TCAGTGTTTGAAATAATGCTGCTTCATAAACTATTAGAATTAAATACATTGCTACACCTGGAACAATTGAAAGCAATTTCTATTTTACTGAATAGTCTAAGATAATAAAAAGTGGGTCTGCTTTCTCTCTCCACCGCACATGTGGCAGCAAAGCCCCCTCGGCAGCTTCTCTTTCACGCTGTCTAGGTCTTATCCGGAGCTCTGATCTGCCACACCGCCCCTCTCAACCGCCCCTGTTCTGCACAGGGACCTCAGGGCTGTTAACCAGAAACAAGGGACACCCGTGGTTCTAAGCCATGCCGCCAGCTTCACCTTGCTCATGTTCTGGTATACAACGCCTGCTCACTGCAGGGCATTTGGCAATGCCCTTGTCACCATCACCCTCATCCTCAAAGTTTCCTGATACTGTCAAATGTCACCAGGGTGTGTGTGTGTGTGTGTGTGTGTGGTGTGTGTAATCAAATCCAGTTGAGAACAAATGGTCTGACTGCAAAGTAAGAAACAGTACCAGCAAGAGTCTTTTGTCGACACATAGGATATTTCAGGGAAGGAGTCTTTCCTGGCAAAAAGGAGTAAATATGGTTCTAAAATTCCTATTCTAGTCATGGCAAAACTCTTCTTAATCCTTTGTGCGAGTTTGTGTGTGCCTTGGGGATTAAACCAGAGCTGCGCACATGCTAAGCACATGCTCTACCACTGCGCTCTACCTGCAGTACCTTGATCTTTTTTTTCCCCACAGGAACTCATCCTCTGCACCCACCACTCCTCACCTAAATACCTGCCGTTGATTTCTAATGTAAGAAGGACTCCTCTGCTCATACCCAACCTTCCTTCTTTCTCTTTCATTCTTAAGAATATTCTTACACTTCTGATTAAGTTGACATTTGAAAGGCTCCCCTCCAGGGATCTCAGTGATAGCACAGGGGGACAGCAGTGACAATTTGATTGTCCCCACTGACTGCTCTGTTGTTGAACTAGGTCTTCCTCCTTTGCCAGGCAACCACACAGCCTAGAAGATTAGTACTTTGAAAGAATGACCTTTTGCTGAATGAATTATGCCCCATCTGGAGAAAACAAATCCAGGAGGCAGGAAAACAAAACTCCTGTAAATAATGCATTGTGACACCTCTGATGCCGGACCTCGCTGGGTATCTGGTATGCTTAGGTAAGGCTTTTAAAGGTCTCTGTCATACAGGACTGTGAAGGGGCTTTAGGAAACAGGCCACCCAAGGGAGGATGCTCCACTGTACATTTGAACAGCTTCTGATCTTCTGTACGGAGCCTCCCGCTGAGTCAACTTACACCATTAACTTTTATTGGGCCCTACTCTATACTACAGAATTACTTCCAAATAACATTATGCAGCTCTAGAGTAGTAGTTCTTGACCAGTCAGTTGCGACCTCGACACACATCTATCTCCAAAATTATTTTCATTACGATCATAACCATAGCAAAATTACAGTTATGAATTAGCAAGGAAAATAATTTTATGGTTGGGGGTTACCATAACATGAGGAACTGTATTAAAGGGGCGCAGCATTGGGAAAGTTGGGAACCCCTGCTCTAGAGAGAAGTAAAGCACCTATATAACGACCCAAATGGTAATTTCCTCTGGTGACCATGAAAAGCAGCCTTAGTTAATCCAGCCAGGAATACCCAGACCCCTGAACATTAGAACTCTGCACATTTCTCCTTTGGGTTTGGCTACTGGGAGAACAGACAAAAATTCTTTGCAACTATCTTAATAATTCCTGGCCTTTTTCCAGGAGTGCTGGGCATGGAACCAGGTGCTGTCCCAAGCTCCATCTCCATTTCCTTCTTCATCCTTTTTGTGTTTCTGGTTTCCGGGTCGTTCTTATAACAGCCTACCTAAAGCTGAATTTCCTCAATAATCAAAGTTTTCCTTGCATAAATGTTGATGTTTGTTTCGGACTTGGCGAACACAGCAAATAATAATAATAATAATAACAACAATCATTTGAAATCCTTGTAAGCTGTTCTTCATACCCCACTGAACCGTATTAAGACCAATGGTTCTATACTGGTGAATAATATTTGGTACAAAAGTCACCAAAAAGGGGGGAGTGGCACCTTTATATGCAAAGGTATGGTTTATAAATTCTATGAATCATTACCTGGGCCAGAACTAATTTGTCTCCCGTTCCAATTCCATTCTAGATGTGAGGGGAAACTAAACTCCATCCAGTTACTGTAGGCTGGGGTTCGGTCTTTTGAAAGGCACTGAAATGGTTAGGCTACCAACCATGGACTCTACATCAAAGTCCGGGGCGTCCCATGCACACCCATTTCCTCTTGATCCCCCGCCCCCAAACGTGCTCTTAGGGGGTTCCCTGCCCTACATTTCTGACTCTGGCTTCTCCACCTCGGCGAGGCTGGACTTGGGACTCCGCTCTGCCCTCCGCTGCTGACGTCCGGCCTCCAGGCCTGGGGCCGGGCTCTCAGCGGCGCCGCCCACACCTCTATCCATCTTGCCTACCTGGGCGCTGGGTCGCGCAGACCGCCCAGCACCAGGATCGGATCCCGCCCGCCCATCCATGCCCTGCAGCCCCCGCCCCGTCCCCGCCCCGCCGTCCGCGCGCCCGCACGCACCCACTTGTTGGCCCGGTGGAAGAAAGTGTACAGAGCCACCTGGCTGGCCACATCCACGATGCGACTAATGTAGGGGTCGTGGCGTCGCAGGGCCGCCAGGCTGATCTCGTGCCCCTTCCCAGGCGGCCCGCCCGCCGCCGTGGCCGCCATCTTCCCACCCGCCCTCTTGCCCGGCCTCCAGGAAGCCCCCTCAATCGACCGCCGAGCGAGCGACCGCGGTTGGGCGATTTTCCGGCTCTTGGGGACCCAGGCTAGGCTCCGCCAATCGACGGCCGGGCCTTCTCCCGGAGGATCGTCGCCTTGGCAACGAGAAGCCCAGGCCTGCCTTCTGAAGCTGTTTTTTTTCTGCTATTTCTTCCTACAGGAGCCTTTGAGTAGTGTACATTTCCTTCTTGGATGTGGCCCACGCCTTGGCATAGCTCTTCTTTGACCCTTCGATACCAAACCCAATCAAACATATTAACTCCAAGAAAAGAACTCTGGGGGTTCTTAAAGGGTGCACCCCCAAACCCATGAGGGATTCCTTGAGGCTCTCAGAAGCCTGCAATGTCAGGACTGTCCATGACAATGCTGAGACCTGTGTGATGTGTGCACGCTGAGGACGGGTGCACCGATACTGAACCAAGGCACGCCCCAAAGTGTCCCACCAGTCAGTGAGTGTATTTTTGCTGCTGTGCATTCACTGGAAAACCTGACAAGCAGCTAAAGCCAGATGCCACTTGATAAAATTACTAATTTTGTTAAAATTCAATCCCTGGGCATACTTTTTAAAATAATGCGGGGGCGGGGGGGGGGAGTAGAGAGTGTAGGTAAAACAGCCGTTGCAGGCCGTATTTGCCTCTAGGAAAAATGTTCTGTGTTTGAGTTGGGCTGAATTTATGGTTGTATTGTTGTTTTTGGTGGCTTCGGGAGGAGGCTTCTTTCTTGAGACAGAGTCTAGCTATGTAGTGATGGCGGGTTTCAACCTACCCCCACTCCTGCCTTGGGGTCTCCAGTACCAGGATTCCCAGGGTGTGCACCGCCCAGCCCAAGGGGTTTATTTTTACTTCCACAGAACATTAGTTTAACACGAAAGAAAGATGGGCACACTGGTTATTCAGTTAGATACTGGACAGGTTTCTTCTTAAAAAAAAAATCTTTATATTATTTTTTCAAGACAGGGTTTCTCTGAGTAGCTCTGGCTGTCCTGGGACTCACTCTGTAGACTGGGCTGGCCTCAAATTCAGAGATCCGCCTGCTTCTGATTAAAGGCATGTGCCACCACCACCTGGCTCTGGACAGGCTTTTTCAAAACTAAGATTTTCCTATCACTTCCAAGAAAACTAGGGATACTTATTGTTGCCAAGGATAATTTCTGAGATTAATTTTAAGAAACAGGCCAGGATCTTGGCAGTGTCAATACTTAAATCTTTTCTGATGAGATCAATGGTGATATTAATGAATGCACTTTTAAAAATTACATCTAATGGAAACTGTTGACATTTGAAAGATATCTCTCTCTTAGCTCAGTGACTCAATGTTTTTCAGATAATAAAATGGCATCACAAAATCATGTATAGGGTAAGAGATCCATTCAAGGTCAAGGCACACAAATAAATTTCAATGTGCCACAAAATATGAAGAGTTGATAGATGGCATTCCAGATAACTAACCTTCAAGAAACTGCAATTTGTCAATTTTTGATATATCATGGTGGTGATCTGAAAGAAAATGTCCCCCAAAGGGAGTGGCACTATTAGGAGGTATGTTTTGTTGGAATAGGTGTGGTCTTGTTGGAGGAAGTGTGTCACTCTGGAGGCCAGCTTCACTTCCTGTTCACTTCCTGTTGTCTTTGGATCAAAATGTATGTAAGGGCTCTCAGCTCCAGCACCATGGCTGCTTGCATTCTGCCTTGCTTCCTGCCGTGATGATAATGGACTAAACCTCTGAAAATGTAAGATAATCCAATTAAATGTTCTCCTTTATAAGAACTGCCGTGGTCACGGTGTCTCTTCACAGCAATAGAAACCCTATCTAAGACAGTCATCAAAGAATACTCATAGTTACCTGAAAATGGCATTAATGATGTATCCCTTGTACAGTTACATTGTCTCGGAGGCCAGGGCTTGTTCCTATATGTGAAAGAAGATATATATGGCCGCAGTTTGCAGGTAGAAACAAATACAATTTCACTGTCTAGTAGGCCAAACATGAAAGATAATTTTAAAAAAATGTACATCATTGTTTCATTTTGTTATGAGAAGATAATTATTTTTCATGACTCATATCTATATTTAATAGCTTTATGTTTGTTTTATTTTGTGTTTTTTAAAAATGGGCTTATGTAGCCAATGCTAACCTAAAACTCCCTCTATAGCCAAGGTTGACCTTGCACTCTTGATCCTCCTGTCTCCGTCTTGTTACCACTCCCAGCTTCCTATGTTTCATGTGCTTGTTGATGTGTGATTGTGTATTCACACACACCACACACACACACACACACACACACACACACACACACATATTCATATGTGTGTGCAGGTACATATGAATGTGTGGGGAAGGCAGAGACTGACATTGGGTACCATCCTTCATTGTTTGCCGCCTAGTCTTTTGAGATAGGGTCTCTCTCTGAACTAGCGCCCTTGTTTTTATTTTTAAAAATGTATAGCAATACCTTTAATACAAGCGCTTGGGATGCAGTGACAAATGAAGGCATGGGGCTGGCATGCAGTTGAGATCACTTTTGCTTTTGCAGAGGACTTGGGTCTGATTCCAGGCATCCACACTTAGAGGCTCACAACAGTCTCTGTCTCCAATTGCAGAGGATCTCAAGCCTTTTTCTGGCCTCCAAGCACTAGGTGTGCCTTGAATGTACACACACACAGGCGAAACACAAATACCCACAAACTAAAAAGAACCTTTGAAATAGTGTGATGTGTATGTGTGTATGCTGTGTGTGTAGTGTGTATGTGTGCCTGTTCATGTGTGTAAGTGTGTGTGAGCACAGACATGGGATTGTGCATGGCCCGCATGTATAGATCAAAGGACAACCTCACTGTCAGCCCTTGCCTTTTACCTTGTTGGAGGCACAATTTCTTGTTCACCACTGCATACACCAGGTTAGCTTGTCACCACTGCATACACCAGGCTAGCTTGTTCACCACTGTATATACCAGGCTAGCTTGTCACCACTGCATACACCAGGCTAGCTTGTCACCACTGCATACACCAGGCTAGCTTGTTTACCACTGTATACACCAGGCTAGCTTGCCCACAAATTACTAGGAATTTTTCTGCCTCTGCTTCCCATCTCCCCATCAGAGTGCTGGGATTACAGAGAGGCACTTCCACATTCAGCTGTGTGATTCTGGGGATCTGAACTCAGGTCCTCCAAGCTGTGTGATAAACACTTTTTTCCCACTGAACCATCTCGCCAACCCATTCTACCTTTATTACAAATGAATGAGTTTTTTGCAGTTATCAGCTTTAGTCACAGTACAATGGCATAACTCACATAAATGAAGCTTCTTGGAGAGAATTCTTAATTTATAAAGTGTTAAGTCTTGAGACTAAAGGGTCGAGAACCACTGATATAAAGCATTTGTTTGGCATTAAGACACCCTAAACCCACATTTATGAATTCTGACCTAATTGGCAGAGACAGGTGCATAAGTGGCCTCTCAAGGCAATAAATGACAATATCATCTTTATAGTTAGAACTTTCTCTTTACTGACATTCTTGGTTAGACTCCATTTTGAATTGTCAGTCCTATCAAATATAAGTTTAGCCTCCCAGGTGCAGGAGAGTACAGCAGGACCTTCCAGACATTTTAAAACTGGGCCTGAGGCTCATTGGCAGTCTAACCCAGGATGTACATTCATACATTAGTGTAAAGGTTAGTGTTAATTGTCTACTTGACAGGCTTTAGAATCACCCAGGAGAGGCACTTCTGAGCACACCTGTGCACTGTTAGCTAGGCTAGTCAGCTAGGGAATTACCTTGATGAGGTAAGTTGGGGTGAGAAGAGCCATCAGGTGGTACCATTCCCTGGCTGAGATCCTGGGCTACAGAACCCTCATTCTCTCTGCTCCCTGACTTGATGTGAGCTATAACTGACTACCCCAGCCTCCGGGTGCCTTGATTTATCCTTGAACTGTGAAGTGAACTAAACCCTTTTCCCCTTGAGTTCATTTTGTCATAGTCACAGCAAAGGAAGTTGAGATGACTGGTATCTGATATGAGCTAAAAATTTCATGAAATAATATTGTATTAGTTCTCTAGACGGAGAGAACTGATAGGACAGGATGAGTGTGTATGTGTGTGTGTGTGTGTGCACGTGCGTGCGTGCGTGCGTGCGTGTGTGTGTGTGTGTGTGTGTGTGTGTGTGATTTATTAAGTCAGATTACATGAAGACAGTAATAACAGTTGTCTCACACTTGGAAGGCTGAGAACCTGGTGGCTGCTCAGTGCACGGAACTGACTACCTCATGGGTCCCAGTATGGCACTGAATGGTGCCTGGGCAGCTGCTGTTCCTTACTCAACAATGGGAGCCTGGAAACACTGGTTCTCATAGCACTACCAGCAGCAAATCAACTCTGTGGGAACAGGGAAGGCCAGCAAGCAAAAGGAGTAATCTCCTTCTGCCACACCCTCTTTTTATCTGGGCTGCATTTAAAGGGTGCTGGCCACACTTGGGATAGATCTTTCCATACCAATCAATCAATTAATCAATCAAGGCAATCAATCAGGAAAATTCTTCAGGTGAGGCTCCCTACTCAGGTGATTGTAATTTGTGGCAAATTGATATCAAACCCAACCATCACTAATATTAACTGTTATAAATAAATACATATAGAATTAGATAGCTGGACACACATACACTGTTTTCATTTAAAAATGTTGGCTGTGACTCTGTAAAGTTGATTTCATGATCCACTGAAGGACTGTGACTTGCAGTTTGAGAAACAGAATCAAACCATGTTGTCTACACATTGTTTGGTCCTTATGGCCTTTTATTCCCTTTCAGCAGCCAAACAAAGCTGACTAGACACTGTCCCAGGTTAGCCCATTAACTCACTGCTGATTCTACTCAGCTCTGTGCTTCTGGTCACATACTTCTAAAAGTAAGCTCGTCACTAAACTTCCTTCCCCTTGGAGACAAACAATGTCTACGCCCTACTC